GACTCATAACCACTTTAAAGTGTATGCCAGTTTTCACTGCACTCACCATGTTGTGCAATCATCACCACAGTATCATTTTAGAAGATTCCCATCACTCCAAGTCCTTCTCCCATTCCCTGGCAACTGTTAAGTTACTTTGTGTACGTGGTTTTGTTTGCTTGGTATATTTTATATGAATTAAACAATACATTAATACTGTAAGAGGCCTTCTGTGTCTGTCTCCATTCATTTAGTATATTTTCAAGGTTCATCCATGTTGTAATAATGGTTCAGTACTTAATTCCTTTTTATGGATGAACAGTATTCTACAGTATGGTGTATTAGTCTGTCAGGGCTGCTTTAACAAAATAACAGGCTGGGTGACTACACAACTGACACTGGTTTTATCTCTGTTCACAACAGACACTGATTTTTATCTCAGTTCTGGGGTCCAAGATCAAGATGCCTCAGGGCTGGGTTCTCTTTGCTGTGTTTTCATTCAGGTTCTGTGTATTCTGTATTCGTGGAAAGAAAAAGATCTCTGATGATTTTTCATCTTCTTTTTTTTTTTTTTTTTTCCAAGACAAGGTTTCTCTGGTGTAGCTTTGGAGCCTGTCCTGTAACTAGCTCTTGTAGACTAGGCTGGTCTTGAACTGACAGAGGATTCACCAGCTTCTGACTCCTGAGACTAAAGGTGTGTGCCACCAACGACTGGCTTAGTTTTTTATTCATTTTTAAGAGAATAAGTTTATTTAAAATGTTTGCATTTATCATTTAGATGCGCATGTTCCATGGTGTGTATGTGGAAGTCAGAGGACAACTTCTGAGACTTGATCTTTCCAGTCCAAGGACTGAACTCAGGTTGTCGGGTCTAATGGGCAAGTGCCCTCAGCCAATAAACTATCTCAACTGGTCTGTTTTTATCTACTTTTGAATTGACTCTTGTAGATAAGGAGATGTCAGGGTCCAACTTCACTTTTTCCTGTGTGGATATCTATTTGGTCTAGCCACATTTGTTGGAAAGATATCACCTGCACTGACTGGTCTTGGCTGCCCTGTTGACACTGTTGGCTGTAGATGTTCAAGGTTATTTGTTTTTACTACACTGATGTATCTGTCATCTGCTAGTCTTAATCAAAGCACTATTTTAAAAGTTTTAACACAAGGAAGTTAGTTCTCTAGCTTTGTTCCTTTTCAATATTGTTTTAACTGTTGAGAGCCCCTTGCAATTCCAGATGACTTTCAGGATCTGCTTGCCCATTTCTATAAAACATGGAGCTGAAATCATTTTTTCTTTTCTCTCTCTTTTTTTTGTAGACTTTGCATATGAGAGTCAAGCACTCCATTGCATTCTACATGATCATATCCTCAGCTAGGCAGTTGGGATTTTGATAGAGACTTCACTGAACCTGCAGATTTCCTTGGAAGTACTGTCACCTTAATAGTATGTCTTCCAATTCATGAACACAGGCTGTTTTTCCTGTGTTTCTTTAGGTCTTGGTCTACTGAATTTCATATGGTGTGATTTTAGTTTTCAGTACACAACTTTCATCATTTCTAGAGTTAATTTTATCCCTAAACGTTTTTTTTTTAATTTATTTAATGTAAAACATTCTGTCTCCTTGTATTTCTATATGCCAGGAGAGGCACCAAATCTCATTACAGACGGTTGTGAGCCACCATGTGGTTGCTGGGAATTGAACTCAAGACCTCTGGAAGAGCAATCAGTGCTCTTAACTTTTCAGCCATTGTGCCAGCAACCTCCCCCCCCCTTTTTTTATTTTCAAGATAGGGTTTCTTTGTGTAATAGTCCTGGAATTTGCTTTGTAGACAAGGCTAGCCTTAAACTCACAGAGATATGCCTGCCTGTCTCCAAGTGCTAGGATTAAAAGAATGTGCCACCACCACCTGGTTCCTAAACATTTCTAATAGAATAGAAACCTGGAAGTATAAAATGAAGATAAAGGTAATTAGAGACATGAAGATATTATTTATTTATTTTATGTGTCCATGCATAATGTGTATACAGTGCTGTAGAAGAGGGTGCCAGATTCTCTGGACTGGAGTTGTAGAGAGTTGCCAGCTGACATGTGGGTGCTGGGAATCAAACCTAGGCCCTCACTGGGAGAGCAGCCACTATTCATAATCACTGAGCTGTCTCTCCAGTCCACTTCAGTCTAGTTCAGTCATTTGCTATTATTAAATGAATTGTTCCTTAATTATTTTTGACTTGCTGACTCTGAAAATAAAGCTGCTATGAAAATCAGTCACAAGAATCTGTATACTTCTGAGAACATACAAGAACAAGTGGACCCTTTCCTAGCTTAGCCTCCATATGAAAACCCAGCATTGGTCAAGTCCTTGACCTCGGTCTTATGAGACCCTAAACAAAGGACTTGCTAAGTTGTTCCAGGTCTTCTGACTCACAGATGTGTGAGACAACAGTATGTATTATTTAAAGCTGTGAAGTCTGGGATAATCTGAGCGGTTATATATATATATATAGTTTGTAACAAAATATTTATATATCTAACCATATAACCCAGTCATTCTAGTATTAGGAATTTGCCTAGAGAAATAGAAATACATAACCCTAAATTCATGTACATTAGTGTTTGTAACAGCTAAGGAAAGCAATTTAAATGTGATTTCATGAAATAATATCCAGCAATAAAAGGAATTACAGATACACAAAGTGAGATGGATAAATCTAATTATGTGGAGATGGAAGAACCCAATGAATTAATGACTGGCTTTTTTGCCACTGCAGATTAGTTAGCTTTAGTGGATGCCAGGGTGTTCTATTGCTGTGAAAAAACACAATGACCACAGCAACTCTTACAAAGGGAAACATTTAATTAGGGCTTCTTACAGATTCAGAGGTTTAGTTAGAGGTTTGTCATAGCAGGAAACATGGCAGTATGTAGGCAGTCATGATGTTGGAGAAGTAGCTGAGAGTTTTATATCTGGATCAGCAGGTGTCAAGAAGAAAGTGTGACATTGGATCTGGTTTGAGCTTTTGAAATCTCAAAGCCCACTCCCAGTGACACACTTCCTCTAACAAAGCCACATATACTCCAACAAGGCCACACAGGTGTCCTAATCCTTTCAAATAATGTCACCCCCTACGAGCCTATGGGGTTCATTTCCATTCAAACCACCACAATCCACTCCCTGGCCCCCTGAGCCTTGTAGCCACAAATAATACAAAACTATATTCAGTCCCCTTCAAAAGTCCTATCCATAGTCTATTACAGTCTCCACAGATACTCATGACAATTTCTTAACTGTAACACCCTGAAAAGTCAAAATGAAACAGCAGATCACATATTTTCAGCACACAATGGCACATAAAATACATTACCATTACAAAAGGGAGGAAATAGAACATAGTAAGGAAACATAACTGGACCAAAGCAAGACCAACAACCAACTGGGAAAACTCCAAACTTTGCATCTCCATATCTGATGTCAAAATGCTCTTCAGATCTCTAACTCCTTTAGGCTTTGTAGATTGCAACACACATTTTTTCTCTTGGGCTGGTTCCAATTCCCTGTTAGTAGCTTTCCTCAGCAGGTATCCCATAGCTTTGTCCTCTCCAAAATCTAGGAGTCACCAAGGCAATCAAGGTTTCCCCTTCACAGCTTCATGTAATGGCCTCTCAAAGCCTCCTGACACATGCCTGGCCTCAGTGACTTTCCTTGACTCTAAGGCCAAACCATGTGGCTAAAGCTGCCAAGTTCTGCTGCTTTCTGGGACTGGAACATGGCCTGCTTGTCCAAATACCATTTCACCAGCTTTCTGTTGATGGTTTCCTTCACTGACTAAGCCTTGGCTGTCCTGAAACTTGCTCTATAGATCAGACTGCCCTCAAACTCAGAGATGTCTACTTCCCAAGTGCTGGGGTTAAAGGCATGCACCACCACCACCACCACCACCCAGCTCCAAACTTTGCTTTAATCCCTTTTCATAGATTGGAAGCTTAGCTGGGTGGGATCCTGCTCAGAGGTCACTACTCCCTTTATTCCGCTTACAATATAAGGCTTTTCTTTAATCTAATCTTTTGTTTTTAAAGACAGGGTTTCTCTGTGTAGCTTTGGAGCCTGACCTGGAACTCACTCTCAAACTCACAGAGAACCCCCTGTGCCACCACTGCCAGGCTTCTTTAATTTTCTTATACTTTCTCATACTTCTTTTTCACCTCAAACTGTACATTTTACATTTTTCCTTTGCATTACAGATCTGCATAAGTACGGACACTAATAGCCAAGCAACACAGTCAATACAAGGCTGTCTGGAAATCTCTTCTACCAAAGCTGTTAATCCATAACTCTTCAATTTAGTCTCAGGCAGACTTTTTTTTTTTTTTTTTTTTTTTTTTTTTTTTGACATGGGCAGAAAATAGCCACATTTTTCCTCACCAAAATTTCACAACAATGATCTCTAGGCCACATATAAATTCCCTACAGTTCAAGTCACCATTAATACCACTCTCTTCCATGTTCCATTAAGCCCCACTGAAAGCATTAAACTGCTTTCCTAATCCAAAGTCCCAAATTCCACATTCCTCTAAACAAAAGCACAGTTGGGTCTTTCACAACAATACCCTGGTCCCTGATATCAATTTCTGTCTCAGGGTTTTATTGTTGTGAAGAGACACAATGACCACAGCAACTTTTATAAAGGAAAACATTTAATTGGGGCTGGCATGCAGTTTTAGTCCATTATTTTCATGGCAGGAAACATGGTCGGTGTAGGCAACTTGAGAGGAACACAAATTCAAGCTTTGTCTAAGTAACTCAGTGAGACCTTGTCTTAAAATTAAAAAATTAAAAGGGCTGTGTTGTAACTTGGTGGTAGTGTTTGCCTAGCACACACAGGGTCCTGGGCTTGGCCAGCACCACACACACACACACACACACACACACACACACACACACACACACACACACAAAGACTAATTGGTATTTGTATATCATAAGTAATTATTTTTTCACATTGGTTTCATTAGGATCCTTACCAGAAGCAAATCCCTCCCAGTGACTACGTGTCAACTGCTCCATACAGCCCACAACCTTGCTCCACACGTTGTCAAAAACATAAGCAAGGACATCCTCTTTCATGCAGTAAAATGGAGCAATGGGAGGGTACCCTAATTTCTGTTTCTCTGTAGCTGCTTCTGATTTGTTTCCAGGAAATCCCTCTTCCCTGGAATAGAAGCGAGAGGGAAAGATTTCATGATTACTCTTCCCTGAGCCCCACCATTGTTCTTTATACACAGTAATGCACATGCTGTGCCTGCTCCACCCCCCTCCTCACCCAGCAAATGTAGCACCTGAAGCTGCCTTGGGAAGTAAAGGAGTTCTCAATAGAAGAGACTGGTTCCTTGTTTTACCCGCACCCTGTCCTAGTGCTCCACAAAAGGAAGGTGGGGACTGAAATAGAATGGAAGTCCTGTGTCTTCTGGAGACTCTATGTCATGCCTATAACCAGGAACTCCCAGGGAGCCAAGCCTATCTGCTTTTCTAAGGGGAAAACCAATAGCCTGGGGCTGGGGAAAGGGCTAGCTGACAGTATGCTCATTTACCATAGACCAGCGGTTCTCAACCTGTGGCTCCGGCTGCATATCAGATATTTACATTACGATTCATAACAGTAGCAAAATTAGTTATGAAGTAGCAACAAGATAATTTTTTTGTTGTTTTTCCAAGACGGGGTTTCTCTGTGTAGCTCTGGCTGTCCTGGAACTCACTCTGTAGACCAGGCTGGCTCGAACTCACAGAGATCCTCCTGCCTCTGCCTCCTGAGTGCTGGAATTAAAGGTGTTCATTACCATCACCTGCCGCAACAAAATAATTTTATGGTTGGGGGTCACCACAACATAAGAAACTACTAAAGGGTCACAGCATTTAGAGGGGTGAGAACCACTACCATAGACTATTAAAAAGTAGGACAAAGAAAATTCAGGAAGTGGCTGAGGAGTGGGAGAAATATTCCAGGTTCCTACAATGAGGCTGCCCTCAGGCAGCAGAGGTCCCCAGAACAAAATAGGCAGGGAAGAGGCTCATGCAGGGCAGCTGCCTGAGGAGGAACTTGCTTGGCATTATCAGGGGCTAAAAGGATCAGAGTGATTGGATGAACTGTATTTACTTTCTTTCATTTTTAAATGTTACTTTTGAGGTAGGGTCTTGGTGTGTAGCCCTGACTGGCTACAATTCACTATGTAGACCAGGCTGGTCTTAAATTTGTTGTGATCTCGCTTGCCCCTACCCCCAAAATGCTGGGACTGTAGGCATGTGCCATCATTTGATGAAAAACTCAAATTGTGTAGAAGAACTCATAGTGAAAAGGATGTCTCCTACATCACTTTCATCCCCTTCATGAGAAGCAAATATTCTGTACTGTTCCACAGGGGAAAAAAATCACATTCTGTGTTACCCTGTACCTCATTCTTTATTTACCAGAGCACCTGGAACTTTCCTATCAGTACATATCAATCTGTCTCTTCAAGAACAGCTGGAGAATTCCAGCAGCTGCACCACATGTACCTATGTACCCAACTAGGCAGGCTTTTGACTGTGGTAGGTACTCTAATTGCTATACAGTGTTTTATTTCATGGATGATTACATCTGTAGAACAGATTCCTATGAATACAATTAGTGTGGTAAAGGGCATCTGCTTTGCAATCTGAAAGATACGGCCCACCACCCTCTCAAGAGGTTCTATAGACCAATAGTGAAGAAGACACTTTCTGGAATTCCCTGGGGGTTCTCTCAACCTGATGGAGATCACAGCATTTCATTCTGGGTTAATTTGATCTCTAATGTAAACATGGCTTAATTTCAAACATTTAAAATATTTGTTCTGCTCATATGAACTTTTTATTCATGTCCTTTTCCTGTTTAATCCTTAGTCTTTTCCTCATTCAAGTATACATTAAACAAATTAATTCTACGAATGTAGTACAGATATTTTTGCCTAGTTTTTTGACTTTGTTTCTTTTTCCTACGCAGAATGCCGTTTAACATCATCATTTAAGAACTTCTATGACTCATAGATATCTATTAGGGTTTAAAATGCTTTTGAGGCCTAACGTGGCACACACCTTTAATTCCAGCACTTAAAGGCAGAAGCAGGATCCAGGCCAGCATTGTTTGCATATCAAGTTCCAGGCCAGGCCCTTGTCTCAAAAAAAAAAAAAAAAAAAAAAAAAATCTCATTTTTTAAAAAGTCTGCCATATCTGCTTTCTAAACCAATGTGATCTGTCATACGAAAATTTTTATATGTGAAATTTAAATTTACTTTTTTTTTTTTTTTTTGTTTTTTTTTTTTTCGAGACAGGGTTTCTCTGTGGCTTTGGAGCCTGTCCTGGAACTAGCTCTTGTAGACTAGGCTGGTTGCAAACTCACAGAGATCTACCTGCCTCTGCCTCCCAAATTAAATTTACTTTTTATAGAAAGAATAAGTTAGGAATGTTATTTTTCCTGGTTTTTCTACTTGTAAACAAATCATTTGCTTAAGTTATATTCATTTCCCACAGGCATTTCCCCTCATTTTGTGACCTTAAATATTTCAGTTAGGAACATTTTTCCTGTGACACTGGAGTCTCTGTCCATGCAGGATCTTCTGCATGCTGGGTAAACTGCTCTATCACCGAGTTACAGCTGGGCTTTTATCTTTTCATTTTGAAGCAGTGTCTCACTGGATTATATAAGCTGGCCTGATCTCACTTGGTAGCCCAGTTTGGCCTTGAACTTGTGACTCTCCTTGCCTCAGTCTCCTGAATAACTGTGATTACAGGTCTGTCCAGTAGGGCCAGCTTTGGTTAGGAACATTCTAGAGGCCCAACTACTGTGTCATTTTACAAGAAGGTAATTTGGTAGTATCTACAATACGGCTGTCTTTTGAACTCTTGCTCATAGTACCTGAAAATTCAGTCTCATCAGAAAAAGGGAGAGGTGCCCTGAACATACACAAGCCATTTGTATCACACATTTTAACTTAGTTCAGTCAACTTCATTCTTCATAATTTAAGAAGAAGGACCAAAGGGGAGGACTTCTGGTTTGAGGAAACACAAGACAGAAGAAGTAGATGACAAAGGCTAGGGGAAGAAGAGTCTTTAGAAAATCAAAAGCCACATAAAAACGTCCTTACACTACTGATACTGCAATCTGCACAAGAGTGAACACAAGAGAGAATGTGGCAGTAGGAATCACCACGGAAGAAGAGAAGTCTTCCGTGACACAATAACCAGATCCAACCACACAGCCCAACATGATACTCATACCTCTAGATGTGCTGTTATGTCTATAGGTTCTGGATCTTTTTTTTTTTTTTCCTAAGCTAGGGTGCATTCCCATTAATTAGTTTTGTGTATGTGATGAGTGTACATGTGAGTGTAGGTGTGTGCCTGCCATGGTACACATGCAGAGGTTAGAGGACAACCTGTGTGTCAATCATGACGAAATTTCTCTTGTTCACTAATATATACCATGCTAAGTGGCCCACCGGCTTCTCTAGATTCTCTTGTCTCTGCTTCTCAATGCCCTGTAGAAATTCTGGAATGACAAAAACTGCATTTAGCTTCTGTGGACTCTAGGGATCTGAATTCAATTTGTTAGGATTGTGATACAAGCACTTTATCCACAAAGCCACTCCCTAGCCCTATTTGTTTATTTCTGAGACAGAGTCTCACACAACCCAGGCTCGCCTTAAACTTTCTCTGTAGCAGAGGGTGGGGGCCTCTGATTCTCCCTTCACTGCCTCCTAGGATACAAGCAGCAGCCACCACTTCCAGTTTATGCAGTGCTGGGGATTTAACCCAGAGCTCTGTTCTTGTTGGGAAGACATTCTACCAAATGAGTTATGTCCCCAGTATTTCTAGAACTTTTAAAGCCTTAGAAAAACAGTTTATATTTCAGAAAGGTAGCATGCAATATGATGAGATTACTGGGATTTAGAATCAGATGAATAAGGTTTTGGTTTTAACTTTACCACAGAAAATTACTTAAGCACCCTGATTCTCACCTATTTTATGTCAAGGTAATATCTATTATATGACTGCTATCAGAATATAAGTGGATATAAATACATATTGTTAATTGTATAAACTATATGCATCCTTTTCAAGTAAGAATTAGATGGGCATGGTGGCACACACCTTTAATCCTAGCACAGGGGAGGCAGGGACAGGCAGATTTCTGTAAGTTTGAGGGCAGTCAAGGCTACATAATGAGACCCTATCTCAAAACAACAATAATACCAAAAATAAAGTAATAAAGTTTAATTTAAATAAACAAAAATTCACATCTCTTCAACTAGTCTTTGAAGTTTCAGTTTCCACTGGTGATAATTTGTAAAAGGATAAAATCAAATTCTGTAGAGAAAATTAAGTTATTTAAAAATCTCTGATCTCAGGAAAAGGCAAAAACACAAATGAAGAGGGAAGCCTGGTGTGTGGAAGCAAAAGGACATGAGCTCTACATGTTGGAGATGACGGGGAACAGACAACAAACTGTTACAAACCGATAGTGCAGTTTCAAAACAGGAGATAGTGATACACAAAACATAGTGGAAATCTTAAAAGACAGTACTCACATATCTGTGTGGTCGAAAGCTAGGTACTCCTCGATTATTCCTTCAGAAAAAATTATACAGTCCACTTCTTCCCCTTCCACAGCACACAAGCCAGAGGGTTTGGTGGTGGGAGATACTTTATGAGCATAAGATGAAAAATGTAACTTCTTTCCCCTTATACCAAATCTTGGAGAGGGAAGAAAAGGCAGTATTAATGACATATTAATACAAACAGCTCTCACATGACAAGTAACATAACTTTTGCAACAAACCGTCCTTGTCCTGGCAATACTTTCTTGAACTAAGATTCTAAGATTTTTTTTTTTTTTTTTTTTTGTTTTTTTTCCTCCAGTACTGGGGGACTGTACTCAGTACCTTGGTCATGCTAAGTGATACTGCCTGGCTTTGATTTGCATTTCTCTTCTGATGGTAACCCTGAGTGTCTTTTCATACAGCTGATGGTCATTCACATACCTTTAGGGAACCATTTATTAATGTTTTCTGTCCATTTTCAGTTAGGCTGTTTTTGATTTTCAACTGCAGAAATTCCTTACTTTCTAGATACTAACTCTTATTAGACATATGATTTGTTTGTTTTTTGAGACAGGGTTTCTCTGTATTGCTTTGGAGCCTGTCCTGGAACTAGCTCTGCAGACAAAGCTGGCCTTAAACTCACAGAGATCTGCCTCCTGAGTTGCTGGGACTAAAGGTGTGGGCCACCAATGCCCATCGTAGACATGATTTGTGAACACTTTATACTATTGTATACATTCTCTCATCCTTTTGGTTACCTGGCTATTTTTTGCTTTTGCCTATGACATTACATCATAGAAATCACTGGAAACCTTGTGTCCCAGAGGCATCCCCTGCACTTCACTGTATGGATGGTTGTTGTATTATGTATAACATGGTAGGATCTGACTTCCTCAACTAGGAGGTAGAATTTAGTTTCCCAATAGCATTGTTCCCAAAAGCATCTATTGAAATATGTTTTAAAATAAGTATAGATGGGTGTAACAAAATGGTGCCTGCATTGTGAGTACTAAGAATTTCCACTTACAACTTGACAAAAGCTTAAAAAGGGATTTAGAAACAAAAGAACAGAGCATTTGGTAGCAGCATTTTTCTAGGTTGGGCTCTGTTTTGCTATCGACAAGCAGAGACTTGCTTGGCTCCTTTAAGGGAGTCTTCCTGACTTGGCATAAGCAACAAAAAACCGCCGGGCTCTTTTAAGAGGCCCTGCTACCAAACAAAAAAGGTTTGTATCAGCAGCTGGTAGTGGCAGTGACCACTTTACCAAGCCAAACAGTATGCTGCTTGGTGGCAGGCATAGACCAAGGCAGTGAGCACAACTCTCAATGCTGGTGGTAAATGTACTCCCGTCATTTTGAAAAGACAATGGCTAAAACAGTCACTGTTTTAATTTTAATAATGTTGTTGTTTAGCAGACAAATGTCTCATGATCAAAAAAAAAAAAAAAAGATTTACAGTAAAGACAGACTAAGATAAAGAAAAACCTCTAAAGGTTTACAGTATATTTTAAAATATACATAGGCTTGGGAGAGGAAAAAAAAAACCTAGGATAAAGTGGTTTTAAAAAATAGAAAAAAAAAAAAAAAAAAAAAAAAAAAAAGAGAGAGTAGCAGGGTGTGGTGGCACATGCCTTTCTTTAATCTCAACACCCAAGAGGCAGAGACAAGCAAATCTCTGTGATTTCAAGGCAAACCTGGTGTACAGAGTGAATTTCAGGACAGACAAAAGTTCACAGAGAAATCCTGTCTCACAAAATTAAAAAAAGAAAAAGAAATAGAGTAATAAAAAAGCCATGTAAAAATGGAAAATACACATAGAGTCTGGATGCTGTATACTATGTCTTTAAATTGCTTGTTTGCCAAGGAAAGAGATACAGCTGCCAAAATACATTAGAATTATAAATGCTGCTAAATTAATCCAATTTATATATTTTTAAAATGCTTTGACTTCAAAATTTAAGTCTAGGGACAGGTTACTGGGGAAAAGAATTTCTATTTTTGTTTCCACAGAAAATAAAAAGCTGTGAATTCCTTCCATACTGATATGGTTTGATCAAACAAGACCCACTGAAACAGTGTCCCAGGTGATCCAACATTCAAAATAGCTGGGACAAGGCAGCCTTGAAGACTACGGCCAGGATTTAAGCATCTTCTTAGATTCCCATGGTATTACAGTGTTCCCAACAAGCAGGAAGCACTTTGGAAAGAACGATGCCCAAATTCCCAAATATTGTCTGTAAATGTTTGTCTTTATCTAAATGGGGTTGGTTATAAATGGTTAATGATCACAACCAATCTCTTTTTAAAGGTAAAAGGGGGATTATGGTTAGAAATGAACACTTTGTTTTGGAATAGATTTTTCTTTATTGATACAAATTTAAGGTCAATTTTGTAATATGTATATTTCTCCTCTTGTTTAAGTATTGTGTTTTTAAAAATATTTATTTATTTATGTATACATTGTTCTGTCTGTATATATGCCTGAACACCAGAAGAGGGCACCAGATCTCATTACAGATGGTTGTGAGCTAACCCTCAGTACCTCTGGAAGAGCAGCCAGTGCTCTTAACCTCTGAGCCATCTCTCCAGCCCTAAGTATTGTGTTTATATAGCCCATTTAAAAATGCAATGTATAATTAAGTACAAATTATAGGTAGTTACCTATAATAGTCAAAACTTACAGTTAAGTTAGTTAGGTTTTCTAGATATACAGAGATGTATTTGAGGTGGCTAAATATTCTTCAAACCTTTGAAAAACATATAGAATATGGCATTTAAAATGATTTAGGGTTTTTCTAAACAGTGAGGCACAACTGCTCCTGGCAATACCAACTGTGTCAGAAAGGAAGATGGACACTGAAGAAACTTGTTATGGAATTTGCTTCCAATATGGCAAGACTAGCCATTTGGGCAAGGTACTGATCTTGTCTGGACTGTTCGATTTTATGCTGTATAAACTGGACATGCAGGACCCACAGAAAAGTGATACTGATTCAAGATGGACATTGCTACAGAGTTCCTGCTTCATGGAAGAGTCTGCCAGACAGTCTGCAGGACACAGAGAAAAATGATTGACAAACTGCCAACACAGGTGGATAGTCTGAAATTTCCTGCTTTGCTGAGAAGTCTGCCAAACACAATATGGCCTATAGACTGAAGATGGAACATTACAGAAAACTTTGGGTGACTGACCAGGCAGTGAGTTCTCTGTCAAGTCTAGAGTTTATATATTATCCTTCTGTGGTCTTTGAAGGAGTTGAAGACAGATAGTTATGGTTATAGTTTTCCTTAGTTAGGATTAAAGATAAGGTACATATAAGACTTTAGATTCATAAAGATAGATGATGGAATATTTTCTTTAAATCTTGATGTTAATGGACTAAATATTGTTAACTATAGTTCTTATTTGATAACTTTTAACAATTTTGTTATATACTTTACTAAGTTAAAGCCCTTCTTTTTATTTAGACAGAAAAGAGGAAATGATGGGAGATGTCATTCTGTTAACATATTTCTCTCATTGGTTAATGAATAAAGAACTGTTGGCCTAGAGGACAGGGAGGATTCTGGGAAGTGTAGTAGAGAGGAGTAGAAATGTAGGATGCAAGAGGAGTTAGAGGTCCAGACCCTCTCTCCAGTAAGATAAGACTGCATGGAAACAGATTGATAGAAATGAGTTAATATTTAAGACAGAGCTAGCCAAGAAGAAATGCTAATAACAGGCCAACAGTTTTATAACTAATACAGTGTATTATTTGGGGCTGCCATGGCTGTGGGACCAGGCTGGCCGGAAAGTGCTCGTAACAGATGGGTCTAGTAGTGGTATATGCTTTTAAGACCAACACTCAGGAGCAGAGACAGGGAATTTCTGTGAGTTTGAAGCTATCCTGGTCTGCATAGTGAACTCCAGGCTACCCAGGGCTACATAGTGACACCTTGTCTAAACACAACCCAGAAGAATACTTTTTTCTTTTTTGGTTGTTCGAAGCAGGATTTCTGTGTAGCTTTGGAACCTGTCCTGGAACTCACTCTAGACCAGGCTAGCCTCGAACTCACAGTGATCCACCTGCCTCTGCCTTCCAAGTGCTGGGATTAAAGGCGTGTGGCACCAATGCCTGGTACAAACTCAACTTTTCACATGTTCTTCTGTAGCCTGACACCATCTTCTAACACTTTAACTTCCTGGATTACTATTTTGGCTTACACACTACCAAGGTTGAATGATAACCTTGTTTGAAACCACAATCTGAATTTATATATTAATCTGCTTTTTTTGTGTACTTTGTTTTCATGTAAATATGTTCTCACTTAGATTAAAAAGGAAGAAAGTTGAAGAACATTAATGGTTTCACAGGCACTGTGCTAGGTCTCAGTCAGACACACAAATAATCACTGAATTGTTCATGTATGGCTCCTCCCAGTCTAAGAGCACACCCAGAACAGACATTTTAATGCATTTACGATGTGAAAGACAGCTGACGTGAGGACTGCTGAATGAGAGACAAGAAAGTGACAGATAAAATAGAGCTGTAGGCAGGGCCAGCTTATAATTTTATTTTATCTTCAAGGCAAGGGGAACCTACTGGGAGTTTGTTTTAATATAATGTGGCAAATTGATAGGATTTTTGTACAGTCTTAGTGGTTGATAGCCCTTATCTTATGGCAACCTGGTACATTAAACTTTTATTTGGGACACACTTTGCTGATATGTCTTAGAACAAAAAGTGGCAAAACAGCAGTGCCAGCACAGAAGTCTCAGGACCAAGGCTTTGCTCTTCTGTGCCATCATCCCCACAGGAACCATCACTGCACCGGGAGATGGAAGTGCTCACATAATAACACTTACATGGTAGAGTCTCTCTCTTGAGACAAGGTTGCATCATGTGAAGCTGACACAGCAGAAGGTGATCTAGGGTACAGTCCATAGCCTTCACTCGGAGTGATCATCTGCCTACCTAGAATCCTTCCAATGAAGAACAGACAGTGAAGTACCTTCACTTGGCATGTTTGCAAAACCTGAGCATGTCAGCCGCATATCTGAGGGCTCTACACATTCAGCCAGATACTGACTAAGAATGACTCATGAGAGGAAATGTGAATTCTTACTCAGCTATATTCCCCTTTATAGACTATACATGTAAACAACAAAGCTATTACTGAGTTTAAAGAATAATCCAAGGAAAGTTAGGGATGTGCTTAGCATGCCATGGCCCTGGGTTCACTCATCAGCAAACACAGTACCTCCCTTCCCATCCCCCACAAGAGAATGAAGGCCCAGCCAAACTAATGAAAACGATGGGTCATGTTCTTTCCTTTAAAATGATTTATTTATTTATTTTATGGGCATTGGTATTTTGTCTGTGTGTATGCCTATGTGAGTGTGTTGGATCCCCTAGAACTGGAGTTATAAACAGTTGTGAACTTCTACGTGGGTGTTGGGAATTGAACCTGGGTCAAGCAGTTAATACTCTTAATCAGTGAGCCACCTCTCTAACCCATCTTTATATCTATCTATCTATCTATCTATCTATCTATCTATCTATCTATCTATTCATTTTGAGGCAGAGTTTCTTTGTAGCTTTGGAGCCTGTCCTGGAATTTGCTCTGTACACTAAGTTGACCTCAAAACTCAGAGATCCACCTGCCTCTGCCTCTCAAGTGCTGGGATTAAAGGTGTGCTCCACTAACACCACCCAGCATATGAATCATATCCTTAATAACATTGAACAGAAATTTAAGTAATAGCAGTTGTACTATTGTGGTTTCTCAGGGAATTGTATGTATATCCTTTCAAGTACATGAGAATTACTTGTAGACAATGGTATAAACAAAACATTCCCTGATCATTTTGTTGAAAAGAAAGGTTTTCTGAAATGCCCTAATACTCAGAAACCAGTTACTGATATAAAGATACTTTACTCAGCTTGTGACACAATAGCTCATGTCTGCAATCCCAGGCCCTGGGAGGTGGAGAGTAGGGGAGAATAAGAAATTCAAGATCATCAGCTCACAAGCAAAGTTCAATTCCTGGGGCTGGAGAAATGGCTCAAGGGCTAAAAACATTTTCTGCTCTTGCCGAGGACCAGGTTCAATTTCCAATATCTACATGGCAGTTCACAACTGTTTGTAACTCCAGTTCCAGGAGCTCTGGCTTCCCTGGGCACTAGGCATATATGCAGTATGTATAAATACATGTAGGCAAAACACTTATAACACATAAGAATTTTTTTTTTTTTTTTTTTGAGATAAGGTCTCACTAAGTAACTCTGGCAGTCTTGGAACTCACTATGCCGGCATTAAAGGAGTGCACTATCAAGCCTTGCCATGAAAAAAATATTTTTTAAAAAAGAAAGTTCAAGTCCAACCTGGGCTATCTGAGACCTTGTTTCACACATACACAGATACATTTTTAAAAGTTTTACTGCTAGCTGGGTGGTGCATGCACCAAGGAGACAAGAGGCAGGCAGATAAATGAGTTCAAGGCCAGTCTGATCTACATATTGAGACCTTGTCTCCAAAAGAGAAAAGTGTGCTTGATTAGATTGATATGTTAGAATGTTGTTGATTAGGATTAAGTCCAAAAACTTCTACTAACTTGAATTTTCTTTCAACTGAGGCTATATACAACATGGCTTTAGATTATATTTCATCAAAATATGTCCATTAAAGGAAAGAAAAAGCAAAAAACAAACAAACAAACAAACAAAAACATGCTCAGGCCAGGTAGGCCTTTAAATCCCAGCACTCTGGAGACAGAGGCAGCTGGATCTCTGTTGAGTCAAGGCCAGTCTGGTTTACATAATGAGTTTCTGGCAGCCAGGGTTTCTTTTTATTTCTGTTTGTTTGTTTTGAGATATGGTTTCTCTGTGTAGCTTTGGAGGCTGTCATGGAACTTGCTCTGTAGACCAGGCTGGCCTCGAACTCATAGAGATCTGCCTGCCTCTGCCTCCCGAGTGCTGAGACTAAAGGCATGCATCACCGACGCCTGGCCAGCCAGGATTTCAGACCTCAAAAAATAAAAAAACAAAAAACAAAAAACACCCAAAGGTCATAAAGGTTCAAAATTCAAGATTTGAGACGCCCAGTTTCCGCTGCAGTCAGTCTCATTGGATACCTGAGGTGAGGAAAGCTGGATGCCCACTGCTGGCACTCTCTCTGCAGACTCTGTGTGTGCACACTCAGCTTCTGCTCATACAGGAGCTCATCGATGGCTGTGAACATTGCCTGCACCTTCTCAGTGGCATTTTGGTCAAGTTCCTAGAAACAAATACCATCCCCAAACATATAGATGAGTTATGAACAATGTATCTTGGTAAATTTTATTCTGAACCTGTGATGTTTTACACCTGATTTTACATCTTCACTATCAAATATATTTCTATGCACTTGGGTCACTGAGATGTATATAGACTTTGTGTGAGATTAATTTTGGTGTCTGACATTCTTTAGCAAGTTCTTTATAATAAAATTTTCATTTTTAAAAATTTGTACAGCACTCTAGAGAATGAGCACCAGTAGATAACCCTGAGTTTTCTATCCATTTTAAGCTATTCTTTAACAATGCTATGATAAACATGTTTCAGACCAGCAAGTTGGCTCAGTGGGTAAAGACACTTGCTGCCAAGCCCAGAACTCATGAGTGAAAGGAGAGAACTGGCATCCACAAACTATCTTCTTATTTTTAAAGATTTATTTTTGGTTTTTAAAGATAGGGTTTCTCTGTGTAGCCCTGGCTGTCCTGAAACTCTCTTTGTAGACCAGGTTGCCCTAAAACTCATAGTTTCATTTGCCTCTGCCTCCTGAGTGCTGGGATTAAATGTGTGTGCTACTTCTGTACAGCAGATTTATTTTTTTTAATGTGGTGTTTTTTTAGCACTTATGCTCTTTATCACTGAGCCATCTTCCTAGCTCCCTACAAGTGTCTTCTGACTTCTATACTCATGCCACAGCATTTGTGCCCCCAACATAGACAGAAACACACACACACACACACACACACACACACACACGCACGCACGCACGCACGCACGCACGCACGCACACATGCACGCACTCACGCATGTCAGAGGGAATATTTTAATCTCAGGCACTCAAAACTAAAAACTAAAAACCATAATGGTTTGCTTTGTTTTAAAGAGTTCATTTGAGACACCGTGTTTATATAAAAGTAAAGCTAACAGGAAGCTTCCACATGTCAAGGAATTTTCAGATGCTTCTGGTTCTTTCTTTTCTTTTTTAAAAATAAAGACAATTTACAGAACTTGATTTGTAAACAAGGCTGGCCTTGAACTCACAGAAATCCACCTGCCTCTGCTTTTCAAGTGCTGGGATTAAAGATGTGCATCACCACACCTGACCAAAAATACATTTTAAAGTAATTTAAAAATGAATTCTAAGCCGGGCATTGGTGGTGCACTGTACCAGCACTGGGGGGGGGGGCGGGGGGGGGGAGTGGAGCAAGCGAATCTCTGTGACTTCAAGGCCAGCCTGGTCTAAAGAGCTAGTTCCAGGACAGGCTCCAAAGCCATACAATGAAACCCTGTCTTGAAAAACAAAACAAAACAAAAACAACAAAAAAGAATTCTAAAAATTTACTGTACACTAAGCACCAAAAGGAAAGCAGGTGATGGAAACATATATGCAACTTTCTGAACCTAAAGATACTAATCACAACTCAGGATGATGAGACTGTGTACTCAGTTTACTGGATCCTCCTGATAAGGCATTGGATTAAGTCACCAGGAATAAAGTTTAATCCATACACCCCCACCACCACTGCCTGCAAGGCTCCAATGACCGAGTTCTTCTCACTTACCCCTTTTGTTTGTATTTCCTGTCCAAATCCTATACATCTCTATCCCAAGGATATTTACCTTTAAAGCATGAGTTTCTTCTCCACTTAGCATTCTTTTATTTTAAGATTATCTCTCTATTTTTTGTGTGTCTGTGCCTGTGCATGCACAAAGGCCAGGAAGGCAAGGGCATTAAGTTTTCTCTTCCATTACTCTGTGCCTGTTCCTGAGACTGGGGCTTGAGTCAGTGAGCCCCAGCAATCTTCCTGTCTTCACCCCACCAGGGTTGAGATCACAGGCATTTGAGGGGCACCTAGATCCTCATATGGATGCCGGAATCCATACTCTGGTCCTGATGCTATTAACAACTGAGCCATCTTTGCCAGGCCCACTTTTGGGGCTCTTGCATATTCTGCCATTGTCTGAGAAGTTCTTTTTCTCTTTTTTCACATGATGATTACCTCTTCAATTTCAACCTACTGTACAGATAACGCTATTGTCCCAACCTGTTTCAGTATCCTGCTAGAGCACTTTGTCACTTTACATCCTTTTGTCAGTATCCTCATTAGACTATTGAAATATGTAAATCTCCATATCTACAGCAACAGACAAATATGCTCAAAGTATTCCTTGAAGAAATTAATAAAACCTGAAAATCCAAATATTAAATACAGGAAAGCTCTCAGTATAATAGGTTTATACCAAGACTATTAAATATATTATTCTAGTTGACAGATGTGAAGGTAATAATAAACATCATCATTAACAATGGTAACAAAAGTAGACTACAAAATAGTATGCACATACATATTAACCGAGGAAAATATACATACATAAAAACTATTAGAAAGTGATTAATGGTAATAATTTAAACAATTAAGCTTCTCTGTAAAGAGAGTGGCTCTGGCTATCCTGGAACTTGCTCTGTAGACCAGGCTGGCTTCAAATTCATAGATTCACCTGCCTCTGCCTCCTGAGTCCTGGGGTTGCATGCGCCACCAACACCCAGTTGGGACCTTGTCTCAAAACAATAAATAAAATAGCTGGGCACGAAGGTACATGGCTTTAGTCTCAGTACTGGGGAAGCAGATGCAGATGGATCTCTGCAAATTTGAGGCTAGCCTGGTCTACATAATGAGTCCCAGGATGGCCAGAATCATACAAAAAAAAAAAAAAAAAAAAAAAAAAATATATATATATATATATATATATATATATATATATAACCCAATAAATGAAGAAATAAGAAAACAAGGTAAAAAATGACCAAGGAAAACACCTAATGTTGGTTGACCTTTGGCTTTTACAGTGAGTACAAGGCAAGCACACTCCTACGTACCACCACCACATACACAGCGCAAGGCAACAAGATGTATATTCCTACACATCACAAACAACACACATACATACACACACAGAGAGTGCAAGGCAACATGGCAAACACATTCCTACATATCACACCACACAAAGACATATTCACAAGTGTGCACTCACACGCCTGAACACACACACAGTCTGAAGAGTGAATGGACAGCATTCTTCAGTTCCAAGAGAGTCTTCTAGAACTGCAGCAGAATGATAAGCAGACAACTCACACCATATCCCCAAGAGAAGTCAGAGCTGCCTTCTGTAGACATCCCTGTGCCTGCATAGCTTGGAAAAGCAGAATGAGAATTCCCGGTGTCGGTTGATGTAAAAGGTGATTCTTGGGTGATGTCAGACTCACTACATGATTAGTTTGAGAGAAAGGGAGAAAAAGAGGTTATTCTCATATTTTCTCAGCACCTTATCAGGTGGTAAATATTTACACAATATATCTGTAGAGGCAAACATTTAAGCACTGTGGAAAATCTACCATATCTGTATAGAACTGACAGTAGCTGTGCTGAATAATGCTAGCCAGTTCAGGATGAGTTAGTATCCACCTGTATCGTGAGTTCTTTACCACTGGAGATACTTCATATAAGGTAACAGAAAGTCTGAACTTGTCTAAACAAGTAACCCCTCAAGTACATTCACAGATTTAACCCTTGCTACTGTAACCTGCTAATGCAGGTCTAATGAACTCTCTTTAAAATTCAAGGAATCTCACTTTTACTTCCAGGTTTGAAACTAGATTTTGACTTTACATTTTTTTTTTTTCTGACAGCACACTGTCCTTCAGAATCCTCTTTGAAGCTGTTCTCCTAACTCTTCCTTAGTAACTGCACTTATTATTTACTACGTATTTGTATATTATAAACATTGTGTCGAGTTTTACATACTTTACCTAATTTATATTTACAACACCATATAAGAAACGTTGATAATGTCTTATTCATGTCTTTTTTTTTTTCCCTTGGTCAAGCCATCTTAAAGATTTGTCAGTTTTACTGACTAATTTCCTAAGAACCAACTTCTGATTGTTGATTTTCTATTTCACTATCCATTGACTCATTTGCCCAATGTTACTCAGCTAATAAATGGCAAGAACAGAATTAAAATCAAATCTGATCCCTTTTGAATCTAATTACTTAACAACTACATATTACTTGGGGCAGGTTGGAGAGATGTCTCTCAAGTTAAGAGTGTACACTGCTTTCCAAGAGGACCCAAGTTCTGTTCTCAGCACCCATGCCAGGGAGCTTACAGAGGGACCTGATCTTTAGCCTCTTCTGGCACCTGCAGTCATCTGTACAAACTTACACACTCATACGTACATAAACTAAATTTCACACTGTTACTTCCAGAAAGTTATGAAAGTAAGTGTGATACTGTTTCCAATAGCTATTCCAGAAAGAAAATTAAATGGTCCTGAGTAGGGAATATGTACATCACACCACACACACACACACATACACACACACACACACACACACAGAGGCTGGTTTTGTAAACCTGAGCTCCAGCAAGCCTCCTGCTTCAGGCTCTCATAGAGATAAAATTTCTTGTTTTGTTTCACCAGCATAGGTGTGGTCTTAATGAAATCCTTGCCATTAATGAGTGCAATAAGCAAGCAAGCATGAATTGTGGTGGTACCTTTGAGAACTCGTATCTTTTTCGTGGCTGCCATTGGTAGAGGAAATGTCATCCAGTTGCTCTGGAAGGGGATGACGGTTAAGCGCGTGCTTTGTTATTCCTTTCCTGTGAAGATAAAACGGTCCTTGCTTTATAGTTCACATGCCCTGTAAAGTCACTGGCTTACAATTATTTATTATTCTCTGTGTGTATGTGCATGTGAAGAGTGAGACCAACTTGTGAGGGTTGATTCTTTCCTTCCCCATGTGAGTCCCAGGGATTGAACTGTTACCAACCTTGGTAGTAAGTGCTGTTACATGCTGAGCCACCTTATCAGCCCCTAATAAAACTACTTACTTTTTTTTTTTTAAATTATGTGTATGTATTTGTGTGTACATGGTGCACATAGGGTATTGGATCTCCTGGAACTTGAGTTATATGCAACTGTGAGCCCCCTGATATGGGTGCTGGGAACTAAACTCAGGTCCTCTGTAAGAACAGTAAATACTCTTAACGTCTGAGCCATGTCTCCAGCCCTCCCCAATATACTTTTTAAAAATGTCCACCATTAGAGAGAGAAAATTAAAGTGTACATCCCACTGAGTCTTAGCTTTATGTACAAATAAGGTACAATTCACTAAAATCTCAAACCATTCATTTCCTGAGAAGCCTTGGAGTCAGACTACCTAGATTTGAACATTGACTTCATCACTTACTAGTCATATTATTGAAAGCAGGTTTTAATCCTGTATTTTAACTGAAACATATGTACTTGGGATTTATGAAGTGCATTTGCATGTTAAAGGCCTTGGGAAGACTCCCTGTAAAGAAACTTGTAGAACTCCATCCAACCTACCATGTCTTCTGAATGTACTTGACTAGAGAATTTTGTGGGGAAATGATACCTATTGTAGATAATTAGTTCTGGAAGACATATTAGCTAACATATTCTATTTCAGTGGACAAGTCCAGCAAAAATAGATCCCAGAGGAGAAGTGTCCAGTGTAAATATGATTAAAAAAAAAAAAACCCCACTATGAATGTCAGTTTACATTTTCAGGTGGTCACATTAAAAACAAAAAAGCTGACTTATATATTTATGTTTCAAATTTCTCATTAAAAAATGGCAAGCCAAGGCTGGGAATTTAGCTCAGCAGTAGAGCTTCCTATCATATATGAGATACTAAGTTCAATTCCCAGCACCAAAAAAGGAGATGAGGGTGGGAGGTTGTTATGTACATTTGCAAAATTAAACACTCACAATTAGTAACTGTTAGGAAAGGGTACTGCTTCAATGGATTATCACTCTAACATCTAAAGTAAAAAAAAAAAAAACATTTTAATTTACAATCATTTACATGCATTTGGTCCTTGTTGTTCACTTCATTATGACTCCCTTTTGGAAAGGTTACTTTTAGGAACTATCAAAATGGCATCAAGAACAAGGAATACAGGCTCAGTAATTTCAGTTCAGAAAATGCCTACATTTTCATGCAAAATGTATTTTTAACTTCTCTGGTTAGAATTAACTATAAAAACAAATTTGGGACTGATGAGACGGCTCAGTGGGGAGAGGGACTTGCCATGAAGCCTCATCACCTGAGTTCAAGCCCACAAAATGGAAGGAGTGACTCTTGTAGGCTGTCTTCTGACTTCTGTACATGTGCTTTTGTGCATATGCACACATACACATAATACACTAAATGGAATTTTAAAAATTAAAAACACACTTTAAGTCAAACCCTTCTCACTTTGGGGAAATGACTGTTTCTTAAGTCTTATTCCCTAATGGGCTTATTGCCTAATTTGCAGTTGTGTAGATAACATATTTCTTAGTAGATAGTGTGTTGATGAAAAGCAAGGAGAGTTCTTTTCTTTGTATGGCTCTTGTACCAAGTCAAGGTGGGAAGAGGCAAGGAGAGTATTATCACTTATTGAGGACCTACTGTTGGGGACCATGTGAAGAGACCAACAGGCAGTGTTGGAACTCATAGAACAAGACTGGGCTGTTGACAAGCCATGCCTGAGTGAGCCTTGGAGAGGCAAACCCAAGGATTATGTGTCCTGAGGACCTCATGCTGTTACTGAGCATGGCTCTGATTGTTGCCTTTGTGGTCACCACATCCCTTATAATCTATGGGTTGCATGAAAACTCTCAGAGGGTTTCTATCCCCTCACTGGGCAGTGTCACTGGTACTTAGAATAATAGTGATTGACTTTTTCCAAGTATTGCTTTTGGAGCAAACTGATAATTCAACCACCACCCTTAAAGAGAATTGTTAATAAGGTTAGGTTAAAACATTTTTGTTAATGACTTTAAGGTAGAAAATCTTGGGGAACAATTTAGCTTATAACAACATACTTTTAATAGTTGAACCTCACCGGGTGGTGATGGCATATGCCTTTAATCCCAGCACTCAGGAGGCAGAGGCAGTCGGATCTCTGTTAGTTCAAGACCAGCCTGGTCTAAAAGAGCTAGTTCCAGGACAGGCTCCAAAGCCACAGAGAAACCCAGTCTCTAAAAAACAAAAACAAAACAAAACAAAAAGTTGAACCTCGTTGAGGTCAGGAATAGGAGCAATAGTAGCCTGGCTATGGCTGGCTGATGCACAAAGGTATATCTTAGGATAGGTTGATGATCAAGGGTGATGATTAACTCCTTGTACCCCATTTCTGCCCTCAGCTTCCTGATTAAAAAAAAATCTGTTGATGAGTGGATTAGAACCCTGAGGATTTAAAGTAGAACTGTTTTTCATATATAAAAGTTTAGATTTATGGTTATTTTAAGATTTTTTTTTATAAGATTACCTTTTGAGATACATAATAAAGTGATTGATCCTTTCTTTGCAACCACAAAATGCAGCCTGCCAGCAAAAGAACTGGCTGAGAAAAATACTGTGCTTGCTTATAATCTGTTAATCTGCAACAAGTTGCTTGGGTATGAATGTATGTGGGTTCTTGGGACAACTTGTTTTTCACCTGTAATACATAAAATGTTTACTCATGTAAGGGATATGGAAAACATTATTTTTTAACTTGTATTTACTGTAATCATTCACTTAAAAATAGAATTGTAATTTTTCTACTGCTTGAAAGAATTTTGCTGGGATATATAAGCTATAAGGGAAAGTATAAAGTTAGTTAGAAGGAAAAAAATTAAGAATAGACAGAAGGGAAACAGAAGAAAAGAACAGAAAAAGAATAGAGTAGAGCAAGCAACATTAAAAATAATAAAATGAAGAACTAAGCATTGGCCCTCAGAAAAGTCCTCATGTGTCTGTTTGTCCAGTAGTTTGCCTGTTTTGTATCTCCTTTTCAGTTTCTCTGACCTGTTGATGATGGCTTGCTATTCAGCAGCACTCTAGGTGAGATCCTGACATGTTGGAGTTGTGTGTGTGTTTCCCTTTTTTTGCTGGCCCCAGAGAGTTGAGTTTTGCTCACCTTGCTGGCTCCAGAGAATTAAGTTTTACTCCCTCAGACAGAAAAGTCAATGGAGTGATTAATCCACAAACTCTGTGGATCCCTCTCAATCCCTGAAGCTGCCACAGCCCTATGGCATTATTTTGGGTATGCTTGTGTATATATAGACAGGAAGGCCCAGGTTTAGTAATGTGCCTAAAAGTAAGAAAAGTGCCCATCCAAAATCTCAGGTGTGATTTTAAATGACTGTTATTAGCATGCACAGCTACAATTTACAATTTAGTAAGTGTATAACTGCTTTAATTTGTTTAGTGATGGGGAACAATGGGGCTTGGCTTTTTAAAAGTTCAGACTCTAATGGCTTAAGATGTGGGACCTTACTAATTTCATTTGAGAAATAGAAGCTAGTTAGTTATAGCCATCTTTCAGAACTGTTGAAAGGATAACAGAAACTGAAGGTTCTTTTGAAATTACAACATGCCAGTAAGTGTAAGGCATTATCATTACCTGTCACATTACAACACTTAACTAAGGGTACAAAGCTGGTCTTTTAGCTACAAGAGTTTGCTTTTTAGTTCAAAAACAAAAATGATTCTTATTTGCCGGGGGTGTGAAGGCATTGTTTGTGTGAAGGCTTGACAATAGGCTTTCGAACTGGACTGACACTTTGTTTGACTTCTCAGCAGCAGCATCTATCTTCTAGATACCTGTGATCCTTATCTGTGGGATGTGCAAAGTCGGTCTCCTGGTTTTGCTAAAGCATTCAAGCAAACAGCTTTTGCATAGTGATTGGAACTAGACGCGTTCAACTTTATTGTAACATTCATCTATTGTCTTCAGTGGGGCCAGAAGCACTGTGGGAACAGTAAGGGCTTCTGGAGATCCACGTCCTCAATTCATGTAGTAACAGCCCCAAAGACAGTCTTAGCACACTCTCAGCTGGTGACCCAAGGACAAGAGACAGCTTCCACCAGGGCTAGGAGGAGAGAATTAGGCATATTATTTTCTCTCCTGAGCCCTGGGAAAGGGAAGGAGAGACTATTCAAGGAGAGTGTCTAGAGCTCCCGCGGCCCAGGGTGGGCGAGCAGAGCAATCCACTCACAGCTCTACGCTCTGTGGCACGGCCTTCCGAGCGTATCTGGAGATCATCCTCCGTTTTCTTCTCCGCGGCCGGGGCGGGCTAGCCAGGGCGGGGGCCTCGGGGCCTGGCCCTCCCGCCGGCTCCGGCCCGGCCCCCTCCTGCCACCTACCGGCCCCGTCTCGCCCCGTCTCGCCCCGTCGCCTAGATTCCGGACCACCACCTCCCAGAGTTCCCACTCTATAGCCTTCCGACCTGCCTCCTTCCTCTCTTGAGAGGAAGTGACGGAGGAATACAGCATCCTTTCAGAAACTGGCTCCGATGCATTAGTAACGACACCCAAGGTTCCGTACCGGACCACCACCTCCCAGAGTTCCCACTCTATAGCCTTCCGACCTGCCTCCTTCCTCTCTTGAGAGGAAGTGACGGAGGAATACAGCATCCTTTCAGAAACTGGCTCCGATGCATTAGTAACGACACCCAGTTCCGTACATTCACGGCTTCCAGTTTTTTAGGAACGGGTTGGGTCCCAGGCAAAGAGAACCAGTGTGGGCTGGGCTTGAGTGGTTTTTGGGTGGTTGTTGGTAAAGGGCCAAGGAAAGGTGCCAGAGCAGAGGCGCATAAGAGAGGGCCTATAACCGTAAAAGGAATTGCTTAACTTTTGTCAGGCGGACGATGGGAGTCTAGTTTGATGAAAGAGTATTAGACCGCGCCAGACCCGAGCTCCTCGGTCGCTGCTTTCTGTGCTCTCAGGTTTGTCTTTTGTGTTATGGATCCTTTATCCGAATGATCTCAAGTTCAGTTTTGATTCTGTAAATGCTGCACAATGAGTTCTGCTTGGGCTGTGAGGTGGGAGGGTGGGTAGAATTTTTACCTGACTCTCCGGGTTGAAAGGCAGCATGATTCTAATTTACAGTGATGAGTGGGTAGTTGCATGGAAGATGCAGGTTCTTTGCAAAGCCAACCAAGTAAGCTTAAAAATCAAAACGCTGCGTTAGGTGGGCATCCGGAATCATGGCAAATTATTTGGGGACGAAATGGTAACATAAATTTTTGTACTTTTAAATCTTCTGTAGACTTAAATTCTGTAAAGCAAGGGACATTGCTTTTTTGTTTGTTTTGTTTTTCGAGACAGGGTTTCTCTGTGGTTCTGACTATCCTGGAAGTAGCCATATGGACCAGGCTGACCTCGATCTCACAGAAGTTCATCTGCTTCTGCCTCCCGAGCGTTAGTATTAAAGGCTTATGCCTCCACTGCCCGGCTAAATATTGCCTTTTAACGCATTTGATAACACAGTTTTAAATTAACGAGGTGTTTTAGAGATGGCGTGTAACACTTCCATTCCACAATTAATGAGAAAACTCAAGAAAAGTGCCCAAAGTATGCAATAGAAGCACAATTGAAAGTTTTGAGAGAAAATAGTAGATTAATTTTTTCTAACTGTGCTATACACACTGCTACTAATTTAAGGGCAGAATACTTCATTTGATTGTAAGACACGGTCTTGCTGTGTTTCCTAGGCTAGCCTTGAAGTCCTGGACCCAAGTGATCCTCTTGCCTTAGTCTCTCAGCCGAGACCATAGGCACACCCTTTGCACTTAGCTATTTTTAATTTTTATTCTTACATACTTATTTGGTAATTGAAAAGTGCATTGTTGGATCTCCATTCACTCTATAATATCAAGGTTTCCACTTAACATAATTTAAGTATGAAGAACACGCTTTTAAGTATAAATGTCATTCAGAGAGTAATAAGTTAAGTGGTGTCTGATGAAGGCCACAACCATGATGATGGTGGGAATCAAAGTTTTGGGAAATAATGCAACCACCTAGAAGAGTTTTGGGAATGCTGTTATTTCTTCTCCTATGTGGTTTATGTCACTGAAATTTGTAATGTCATTTTCAAAGAATGGAGGGCAATATGAAGCTTGCAATGGTAGAAGATGCTGTGGAGTACCACCTTTTCCTAATACCGGATAAAGCAAGAGACACAGATGAACCCAAAGAGATTCTTCAGAAGTACATTGAAAGAATAATGACCCACTTTGCACATATACTGGTCCCTTATATCTGGCAGAATCAGCCTTTCAATCTCAAATATAAACCTGCAAAAGGTAAAGTAACCCGTTCATTAGTGTTGTTTAAGAGAGAGTTACAACCACAACCTTAAAAAGCAGTGATGTTTGCCCATATCCATTTAAGCCCCTAAACTTAAATATATACCATATAGATCATAATGTGGGGATTGTGGTTATTGTTCTGAACTTTAATTATGATGCTGTCACAGGTCCAGCCTTACCCTGTTTCTTCAATCATGGTTCCATTTTGCTACTCAGGTAGCATCTTGATGATGTCTTTAGTTGGTTGCTTTGTTTCATGTAGTTGTTTTGCTGAGACTCAAAGAGTGACTTTATCTGTCTAATAAAGATAATTAAATGGGTTTTGTCACTATCAATTACCATCCAGAAGCATCTTGAATGTCCTTTACTGCTTACATGTGCCATCCGTGATTTCAGTCAACTGTTTATGAAAATGATTAATAGATAGCTGGGCCAGTCGGTATTTACACAATGACTTATGTAGGGTTTTTGTGCCTACCGGGTTTCCTCAACCTCTGAGGAAGTGACTCCCAACTGCAAAAGCAAAAGGTTTTTATTGCTAAGAACCAGACTGGCTGGGACCTTACTCTATCGGAAGAGTAAGGTGCCTGCTTACAATTATGAAGGGTTTTTAAAAGGGAAAAGGAAAGGGAGGCTTGAGACCGCTAGTCTCAACTCACAAGGTTTCCAAGGTTACAGATTTTACCAAGTACAAAGTTTCTTTACAAGGTTGGCAGGCTCAGTGGCCTTGTTCTCAAGATAATGGGGCAGGGAGGATGCTAGTGGTGGGCTCTGGCATTCTTCTTTATCTCCTGAGAACAGCATGTGGGTTCTGTACTCTGTAGTCAGGGAGTTACTACTGACAGAAATTCTTGTTCTCTCTAGTTTTCCCTTTTTGCCATAAGCTCTAATTTTATATGTTTTAGTTATTAATTTTTCTATCACAGGGTCTATTTAGGAAGGAGCTTGGTATCTTTTGCTCCTGCCATTCTGGCTCTTAGTGAGTGCTAATCTGTTATATTTGGCTAGTAACTGCTAAGTTTCTTCTTTGCTATTAATTTTACTGAACTTTTTGTAGCACTGAGCTTTGAACCTGGGGCCTTGTGCATTGCTAAGCAACAGGTCTACTACTGAGCTATTTCTCCAACTTTAATTTTATTGAACTCTTATTTTCTAGAATACATATGATATTTATTGACAAGGAGACTAGCAAATTAGTGTGCCGCATCTAAAACCAACCCTTTATCTGTGATCTTAACACTCTGAAGGCTAAGGCAGAAGAATCACCAGTTTGAGGCCAGCCAGGGCCATAGAGTGAGACCCAGTTTTACAACAAAAGCAACCTATTAACTTTGAGAAAACCATGTTTACTCTGTATTTTCTTACTTCTCTAATGGCATTGCTGACTAGTTGACCAAGCTAGTGAGTATTTCAAATTGTCCAGTCTAGTGTGAACATTGCCAGAATATCCCTTCCCACATCTGCTTGATCTTTAATCTTTCGTCTGGGAAACTACAGTTCCCAGCTTACCTCTCCAGTCAGTCTCTTGAGCTCCTCACACTATATACAGTACCTTCATAGAACATAGATTGGATGGTGTCACCTCCTGGCTTAAACTCCTTCATTTTCCTGTTGCTGCAGGAGGAGGTTTCAGTTGAAGTCTGATATGTAATGTAAAATAAAAGTCATGCACTAATCATAGTAATAATATAAATAATAAAAAGTAATAGAATAAAAATCATAGTGCTCTAATCTAACTGGAGAGATTTGGGTGGTTTGGAGTGAGTAGAAGAGTTGAGCAGGCTGCTCACCATTTGTTTGACCTTTATTCTGTTAATGTGGTACATTGCATTGATTGATCTCTTAAATTCTTGTTTATTTTATGTGTATGGGTGTTTGCCTGCATATAAATCTGTATACCATGTTCATGCAGTACCCTCAGAGGTCATAGGAGGACATCAGATCCCTTGGAAGTGGAGATACAGAAGATTTTGAGCCACCATGTGGGTGCTAGAAATTGTACCCAGGTCCCCTGGAAGAGCAGCCAGGACTCTTAACCACTGATCCATCTCTTCAGCCTCATAGTGACTGCTTTTTTGTATGTTGAACCATCTTTGTAGTCTTAAAAAAAAAACTCATTGGATTGTAGTATTATAACCCTTTCAATGTGTTGCTGAATTTGGTTAGTCAGCTTTTCATTGTGACAAAAATAACCTGAGAAAAATCAATGTAAGAGGATTTATTTAGCTTATGGTTTTAGACTGGTCACTTGGCTGTGCTGTATAACTCAGCCTGACCTCAAACTCTTGAACCTCCTGCCTCAGACTCAGTGTTCAAATTACAAGTGTGTGTGTCACTATGCTCAGCTATTAGAGGTTTTTGATTACTAATTGAATATCCCTTCTAGTTATAGGTCTGATAGTATTTTCTGCTTCTTCATAGTATTTTCTGCTTCTTTAATTAGGAATTTATCCATTTCTTGCTGGGCGTTGATGGCACACACCTTTAATCCCAGCACTTGGGAGGCAGAGGCAGGTGGATCTCTGTGAGTTTGAGGCCAGCCTGATGTACAGAGCTAGTTCCAGGACAGGCTCCAAAGCAAAACAGAGAAACCCTGTCTCAAAAAAAAAAAAAATCCATTTATTTCTTATAGGTTCTCCAATTTCTTGGTGTAAGGCATCTATAGATTCCCTTATAATCTTTTAGATTCTGTTGAAAGCGTATACTGTCCCTGCTTTCATATCTGATTTTAGTAATTTCTCCTTATTATTTAATTTTTTTAAATTGTCAATTTTGTTGACCTCTCCCCCCATTTAAAAAACAAAACAAGAAACCCTGTTTGTTTCATTTATCTCTGTTCTAATTTTCTTGTTTCTCCTGCTAGATATATGCTTTATTTCTTGGTTTTTGCTTTCTTAAAGTATAGATGCTGGTTTGAGATTTTAGATAACTGTAAACCGCTGCTGTAACTATTTTTTGCTAAACTTTATGAATTATAGTATATAGTGCTTTCGTTTTCATTTGTCCCCCCCAATTTTTTTTTTCACTTTTCCTGTGATTTCCTTTTGATTCTTGGTTGTGTCAAAATGTGATAGTTATCTTCTGTATACTTAATGGATCATACACTTATTTGAAATGTTCTAAAAGCAGAA